TGCTTATTTGTCTCCAGTTATATTTCAAATTGTGCCTGAACTGCACTGCAGCAGTGTGGTTTTTACCAACAAACCTACCTATACCACATTAAATAAATCTAGCAGTTCTATAATCTTGTCATTGCTAATGTCTATGATATAACGCACAGATTACACCTAAAATTTCCTCTGCTTGAGCCTTAGCTGAGAAAAGCCATAAAAATGAAAATGACATTCTGAGAGCCATCAGAAAACCACTGCAGAAACCAACTTCATGAAATACACTCTGTCATGAAAATTTCATAAGCAATTTAAAGAGCTGGGCACGGAGCTCCAAGGAAAATGGTTTGAATCCCATGTGTGAGGCCCCGTGTTTCAGCCTCCTAACACCAGGGTGGTGTGGGGGTGGGGTGGAAAGAGGAGTATGAATTAAGAGACTCTTCAAAAACCACGAGTAAGCCCTAGCAGATTCTAGCCTGTCCCTGACTTAAACAGTTAATCCGTGAAAGGTGCTTTAGCGTCAGACATGTCCTGGTACTTTATCATCGGGACAATAATTACTTCCTAGTCCCTGTTTTCTCCAAGTCCTATAGTTAGGTTTTAATGGTCCATCATACAGACGAGAAACCAAAACTTAACCATCCGAAGCTATATAGAAATACTTGGCAGAGCTGAAATCTGTATTCTAGTTTATTTGCTGCCCTCTGGCACCTGGCAGCCCTGTGTGTTCCTTTCTGAATATGGCTTTTCAGCCAGGGGTGGAGGGGGAATCTCTCCTCTCTGTCTGATACTCGTCTAAATCTTACAGTGGTCTCTGGATTTCTCTCATTCCTACTGCACTGTTCATTTGGTGCTCACTGTATGCTGCCTGCCTGAGCTGCTTTTGTGTACCCGCCATACTGAGACCAAATCTCACCCTGTGTATGTGTCATATTGCTGGGTCCATAAATAAGAAGTTAATGCCATTTTATAGGAGTTTCCAATCCTGGCTACAGGCTCTAAAGTAGTCATGGTGGGCCTGTGACCTGTGGCAGTTATTTAACTTTCTTTTTTTAATTATTAAGCTTTAAAATATAGGGCTTTAAAGCAGTGTTTAAAAGAGAAGGTCAGGTATAAAATGGAAGTATGGTATAGCCCCGTGGCAGAGGACAGGCCTACCATTTGTGGCGCCCTGAGGTTGCTCCAATACTGCAGTAAGTAAATGAATAAATAAATTAAACAAAGGAAGGAAGCAGGATGAGCAGTGTGTGGTGGGCGGCCCTGCAGCGACTGTGCGTGTTGGCATCTTGAGGAGTCTGTTTGTAGTTGTTTATTTCTAATATAAGTAGCAACAGTGGAAACTGTGTTCTAGGGTGGTGTGAGATTAAACAATTCAAAGAAGGCAGTGCCCACTGCAGAAGGGGTGCCTGGTAGCTGTTCGCTACCGTCATGTGAAGATCTCAGTGAATGTGGCTTCCGACTGCCTTCTCTGGCACAGTGCTCACGGTGGGAGTCCAACAAATGCTTGCCAAACATTCCCTTTCTTTGTTTTTGACAGTTTTCAGTTAAAACTTGCTTATATCCTGTAGTTTATTTCATGTATGTGTGTGTGTGTGCATGTGTGGTATATGTATGTGCATGTGTGAGTGTGATGCACAAGCACATGTGTGCATGTGTGTGTGGAGGTCATAGGTCAACATTGGATATCTTCCTCACTTTTAATTTAGAGACAGGTATCTCAGTGACCCTGAAACTCACCAATTTGCCTAGCTAGATTGGCAGGCTAGCCAGCTCCATGGATTATTTTGTCTCTGCTTCCACGTGCTTGGATTACAGGCACACTGCTGCACCCAGCTTTTAGGTGGGTGCTGGGGTGCAGGTTCAGCTGGTCTGGACCTAGAGATTCTCCCACTGAGATGAGAGGGTGCACCACCATCACAGCTTCTCTGGTTTCTGTCAGTACTCTGTGCTTGGAATTATGTATTCATCAGAAACAGTACCTTGTTATTTACAGTGTGTGTTCACTAACGAGACTTTGTTTGTTTGAAGTAGAGTCTCACTAAGTAGCTTTGGCTGGCCTTGAGTTCCCTATCAGGATGACCTTGAACTCACAAGAGATTCACCTTTCTCTCTGCCTTCTTAGTGCTAGGATTAAAGCACGTGTCACCGTGCCTGACTCAATGTATCTTTCCAAGGAAGCTCAAAAGTGAGGCCCCTTTTAACCCATAAATACTGAAAGCACAGTTTTGAGAGTTCTCCCTGTCACGCTGTTGTGCATTTATATTATTGATCTCTTGGTTTCTCTGTGTGTCCTCTCTTCTCCTGTACTCCTCCTCGACTGCCTACTCTGCTTCCGTCTCACTCTGGGTTTTAGCTCCCTCAAAGCTGTTCCTGGACCCTCTTCTTGACTACCTTTTTTTTCTGGATAATTTTGTAATTCGACCCTGACTTTCTCTGCCCTCTCAATGCAGTGACCTCCACACACAGCAACCCTGGCTGACCTCTTCCTCCAGGAATCCTCCTACCACTAGACAGCATCAGCTCCCTAACAGACATGTGGCAATCCTTCTTCTTGAGTCCCTGTATCAAATTCATCAAATTGCTATCGATTCTACCTCTGCGCTCACTCAGATCTGACGCCTTGTTTCCCTTCCCGCGGATGATTTAGTTTGTTGATGTTTCTGCTTTCGTCTCCCTTTCCAGCCTTTCTCTGGTTGTAATTATTTCATTTTCTTGTGTTTGTCTGTATGTGGTACATGCATGTAAATATGTTTATATTGTGTACATGTATGTGTGCATGTGTGTGGAGTTTAGAGGTCAACATCAGGTTGTTAGGCTCCATCTTTATTTCTTTTTGAGAAATTTACTCACTGAAGTTGGAGCTCACTGATTGGCTAGGCCAGGGGACAGTAGTCCTCCAGTTCCTCTCTGGAGTTACAGTATGTATGGTCAAACTATGCATTTTACTTGACTGCTGGATATCTGAACTCAGGTCTCAGGCAAGTACTTGATCACTGAGTCATCTCCCTAGACTCCACTAGTCATGATCCTACAGTACCTTTTATTACAGAAGTCTACACATGCGTAAACTGAGAAGACTGATGAACTTGTATGTTGTCGCCAGTCCACTTTGACATTTAATTTCATTTTGTTAATCTCAGAATAAAGAACATTCAAGGACTTATTTTATTCCACTTGTAAGTAATTCAGCATTCATCTTTCACAGATAAGAATAAGTAAGAAATGTAAGCATAAGCTGGGCATAGTGGTATTTGCCTGTAATCTGAGCTCCTTGGGAGGCTGAAATGGGAGACTTGGGAGTTGGAGAGCAGCCTGTGTAACATACTGGAGCAGTAACAGCCCTTCAAAACAAGCAGACACACATAATACCATGCCACCATCACATCTAACAAAGTTAAAAATGATTTTTGAACGCAGTCTAATATCTAGTCCATAGTTAAAATTTCCCAATGACTTTAAAGGTGACTTTGATTGGTTAACTCATGATACAAATAAGTTGAAATGTTTCGCGTAATCATTGTTCCTCTTGACTATTTTTCAATCTGTCTACTACCTCTGTTGAGTAGCTGTGGTGTGTGTGTGTGTGTGTGTGTGAGCGTGTGTGTGGTGTGTGTGTATGTGTGTGGTGTATGTGTATGTGTGTGTGGTGTGTGTGTATGGTGTGTGGTATGTGTGTATGTGTGTGTGGTGCGTGTGATGCGTGTGTGTGTCATGTGTGTGTGTAGTATGTGTGGTACATGTGTGTGTGG